AATCAGAATCAGAAATACTTTAATAATCCCAGGAAGAAAAATTAATTTCGTTAAATGACTCCATATGTAATAGAGTGACTATAGGACCAGTTTGATATAACACAATTTCATACAATATATATAATTAGGGGGTCCCCGCTCCATCTCGCAACCAGTTTGGGGGTCCTTGGCTTTGAAAACTTTGAAGACCCCTGTTTTAGATGTTTCTGAGGTTCAGCAAACCTGATTCAGATGATTGCAGTTCAGCAAAGCCTAATAATCTGCTATCAATTGATAACAGGTGTGTGAAAATTGGGAAACATCTAAAACATGTAGGGCAGTGTGCCTTGAGGACCAGGATGGAAAAACACTGCTCTACAGGTTGCTAATCTTGGTCAATAGTGAGAGGAGGGGCGAGGGGGCTGATCAAAGGAGGGCTGAGAGACATAAACTGCTTTGAGAGTTTCATAATCTGTTATTTTTCATTAAAATCTACTGATGGTTTTATTAGTATATTGATTAGAGGAAATAACACTGATTCCCACTACTGATAACTTTTTAATCCTGTAACGTCCTAATCATGTAATATTTAGTAAAGTTCACTGTCATCCCAAAAGAATCGCATAATCCTTGAGGATCCCCCAAAAAATGTCCTCTTTTGGTCAAAGGTGGTTTGCCATCAGGTTCCTAAACATGCAGGGTGACCCATTATATTTTGTGACAGTGTGGTGTTGCCACTGGCCCTCACTAAACCTGGAAATTACAAACTATCGACAACTAGATAACACCAAGCATGCAGACCCCACCATGAAGAACATTTCCTATCTGACAGTGTTAAGGAGTCCTTTAAAAACATTTCCAAATTAACCTTGGGTAAAAATAACCCTAAGAGCTGACAACCAATGTATGTTTCTATAATCTTTCTATTTGGCAAACCATTCATACTAAAAATACTTTTTTCAGGAACAACCTGACTGTGTTTGACATGGTGGTCCTACAAGGCCACGGGGCCAAAGAGCTGCTAAGAGTCGGAGGAAAACTGCCCGGCCCGGGAGCCTCTCTACGATTCAACGTTCCTCAGTCCACTCTGATGGAGTGTCGTGACGGTGAGAGAAGCAATCAGCTCTCCTCATAGCGGGAAATTCTTCCACATTTGGTTTTGATTCAGCTATAAATGGACAGATTAAAGGCAGCTTTTTTCTTCCACAGGCCTGCGCACCACTAAGCCTCTCTTTGCAATCAGGAAGAGTTTTAAGGTGGAGAACGCCGGAGAGCTTCCTTTGACAGTCATGTCCATGAATATTAATGGTTACTCCTGCCAGGGGTATGGCTTCGAGGTGCTTCAGTGTCATTCCTTTAGCCTTGAGCACAACACCTCCTCTGAGATAACAATTGCGTAAGAACATGAACTTATTTTCATTTGTGGTGCCTTTTTACTTCCCAAGCTGTCATTTTACTCTGACCTTTTCGTTTTCTTTGGTTTGTTTATAGGTTTACACCAGACTTCACGTCATCCTGGGTGATTCGTGACCTCACCCTGGTGACATCTCGGGGCAGCTCTTTCCCGTTCACCCTCAATGTGACACTTCCCCACCACATGTTACCTCTCTGTGCTCAGGTGGTACCGGGCCCCAGCTGGGAGGAAACCTTTTGGATTGTCACTCTCATATTCACATGGTTAGTGCCAATTTAGGTGTTGTCTCCATACAGGATACAGGAGGAATTTACTCCCAGATGCTTTTCCTGATTAAAAGCATTTTAAAATGAGTAGTATTCAAGTTTCTGCCTGAGCTCAGCTCAGCTCTCCATGTTAGTCTTAAGCTGCCTTCATACCGAAAGTGTTTTGGGCATCAAAAACGCCAAAATTTGGAAGCTGAATCAAACTGTGGTCAATTTGCTTTGACACTCTGGATGCTCGGCGCGCTGGTTCTTTTTCTGCTATGTTCTTAAGCTACAAGATAAACAGTAGCTTGGTATTATTTAGTTTGATAAGGTGGAAAAATTGTTTTGACATGTTTTAAGGGAGAAAGTTCACCTCCATAGATCCTCTGTGCAGTCAGTTCATCAGGATTATGATCCCAATAAAATATGCAGTAACACCAGACCAGAATATACAATCAGATATTTTTTATCGGCAGGTTGTAACATTTTTAGTTAATTTGGGTATTTATAAACTGTTTCACCATAGTTCATATAAAAATGTTTCAGTGTAGTAATCTTGTCCAAAGCTCGCTCTCTTTTTCTTGTACATAATCAATTCTTTTGTTTTTGTTTTTTAACCTTTGGAGTTTAACTCCTTGATATTTATATATTTTTTATATGCAGACAGCTCTGCAGAAATAATGACAGCTTGCTTGTAGTGTGAATTTCTCTCAATAAACTCTTGGATCAGCTTTTCTGATTGGCTGACGCTCTGATGTCTAGTGACAAAAGTAAAATTTTCTGAACTCCAGCGTCGAACGGCCGGATGCGCCGCTCCCCAATAGACTTGGCATGTAAATCAGAATGTTAATCACGTAAATCAATTTCTTTGACAGCCAAAATACATTCGGTGTGAAGCAGCTTCAGTCAGTAAGCTGTGCAGCCAATTTCTAAAAACGACTTCCTGTTTTCAGATAGATGGCTTGAAAGATTCCAGTTAATTTGTTATCTCTATAATATTTTACACTCATGAAGTTCAGGTTGGAAAGGTTCATTTTCCACCCTTTATTTTCAGATTTTATAGGGGAAACTTTTGTAACAATCGGAATTTTTGTTTTATTTATTTATTTCTGGGCTGCATCTATTTAGGGACCAAAAACTCTTAACTCTTCATTTTGCTAGTGTGTAAAATTGCTGCTTCTGCTACAAAATAAAGTGGCCATTTTTAGAAATACAGCTTATAATGACAGAGCGTACTCTATACGACATTAAAAAAACAAAAAAGATTTTTGATGGTTTCGCTAAAACATACTTTATTTTTCTCTCTTTTAAAGTGAACTGGTGAAAAATCTTCATGATCAAAAAACAGTGTTTTAAACTGTGACTATTTCCCAAGCATTACCACTATAAGAAAGAGAAGGATGTTTATTTGAAGGAATTCACTGTTGCCTGGTTGATGTGTCCCAAAATGCACGCAGAGCTGCAGCACCACCCGTTTCCTTCACTTTTCTTCTCTGTTTGTCTTTCCAGCTTCTCCTTGGTTGGTGTGTGTCTGATGGCCTTTCATCAGGCTCAGTATATCCTCAGGGAGTTCTCTGCTCCTAGCATCAGGAGCAACCACAACTCTGTCCTTTCCCGGGAGAACAGTTCTGTCAATAATATCACCCCCAATGGAGTCAAGTATGTCAAATACAATTTTTTGTCCATTATAGTACAGTTTGTATTGCTAAGATTAACCATTATATATTGTGTGTCTGTGCAGTAAATCCAAAGGCAGCTGTAAGACCTACATAGACACCTGTCACACTTCTGATAAAGGAAAGGGGCGGGGCTCATCTGCTTTGGCCAACAGCCCCACCCCTCGTTCTCAGTCCTCGAAGAAGGGCTCCTCAGCCTCCACCTCCCAAACACAAAAGAAACACAAAGTGTCACTTTATTACACAAAACATAAGCCCAGCTCAGCCACAGCTACAGCTGCAACCATGGATGAAGAACATGAGGACCTCACACCAGATAGTTCCCTCACCCCAGACTCCTGCGACAACAACAACCAACCGGCTTTCATCAGCGAGATGGATAAAAAGACATCCCCAGGCTTCACAGAAGACGTCCAGGGCAACATTGAACACAGCATGTCAGCAGCAGTTATGTTTCCCGTGGAAATACCTGCTGGTTTCACTGAAAATGTCACAATGGGTGCAGGACCCAGACCGAGCCTGTTAATCTGCAGTCCTGTGGAGAGCAGCTGCAGCGAGAAAAGGGACACTTCAGAGCTGGAGGTATAGCTGCAGAAGTTAGAAAATGCATTTCCTTTGTTTCCCTTCTTGTTCTGGACACTTCCAAGAATGCATTAGCTAATCTAAATGTTTTCTTTACAGATCCATTTCGCAGAAGATGCTAAAGATCAGAAAAAGAAAGCTCTGAATACAGAGATGGGCACAGCAATGGGGAATAATAATAAGGGAAAGAGGAGTCGAAGAAAGACAGAAAATGTCTCCAGGTAGAACAAACATTCCTGATTCTTAAAAAGATTTACTTTTGAATGGTTGGGATTTAAACTGATATAAATTTTAATGTGAGAAAATACCTGATATTTGTGATTTAGATTTTATTGTTAGAAAGATCTTTATAACACATTGATATGTCAGCAGTGTTGTCAAATGTTATCTGATCCCCACAAAGACTTAAACTTTTAAAACATTTCGAAATGTGGGTTAGTGTTACGGTACTTGAGCAATTTCTGGTCTTGCTTTATGAAGCATTTGGATTTATTTTTATTATCTGTGTTTGTTTCTGAGTGATTGTTGCCAACCTTCATCAATTTGCCCATTGTTGCATGAAACTTTCTATACAAAACATCTTGTTGAAACCAAACCCTTAAAATATCCCTTTTTTGCTTTTTGTTATTTTTAACTCTAGTCCTCCTGAGCACAATGTTATTACAGTACCAGAAAGGGAGAAGGAGCCAGAATGGAAATCAGGGGAACGCAACATAATCAGAAACCACAACAGAAACCGTTGCTGCAACGGTTTTCTGCCAGAAGTGCTGAAGACAGGACAAGGTGCTGAAAACCTGCTTAAACAAAATGGTCGGTATTAATTTGACTCTAAAGATTCCAGAATTCACAATTTAACCAAGAGTATTCAGAGTAAGGAAGAAAATAACCTTGCTTCTTGTTATTTTTCTGGCAGGTGTTTGTCCAAGTCGCAGCCGGCGAAGGTGTGGAGCAGAGCGACGCACTGGGGGAGTGTCAGAGTCGGGCTCAGACTCCGGCAGTTCGTCGGGCGGTGTGAGGGCCAGCAGAGGCAGCTGGGGAAGCTGGAGCAGTGCGAGCAGCATGGAGGGAGACAAGGACCACAGTGCTCGAACGCAAGCCTGTGCTACCTCATCTAGAAAAAGTATAAAGCAGCTTTTAAAGCTTCATTTGCGATTAAATGTAATTTGTAAATCTCACAGGTGGATAGATATGTCACACAGGCAATAAGTAAACCTCAAAAGCTAACGATTTTAATTTTTTTTAAATGTCTTTTTTTTCTCCCCCCAGGAGATTCCACGCAGTACTCTGTCTACCCCACAGACAGGGACTGCTACCAAACCATCAATAACAATAACAAGGCCTCAAGGTATTTCCCTTACCACACATTTCTTTCTGTGATTTTTTTTTATATACTATAAAAAACATCTGCCTTAAGTCCAACAAGAAAGTCACATTTTAATGGGGAAATTTGCACAACTTGAAGCCAAGGGGAACTCTATCACAGGAAGAAGAGTGGCTCATTGGATTCTGTCCAACATGGAGAATTTATACATTAGCTTAAAAAAAAATGTTCTAGGATCCAAACTTATTTCACATTGTAGGTTTTTAAACGTGTGGTAGTGGACAGAGATAATTGAAACATTAGGAACATTGTACTTTTATGCAGAGTTGACATTCAGGTTTGTTGCACACTAGTCTAAAGATAAAAGTACATCAGAACAAGTTACTTTCAAGGTTTTTGATGCAGATTCTTCATATTGGTTTTTGTTTTTTAGCTCAAACATTTTGTACAGCAAAGACACGTGCCAAAGCCCAGACCCAGCTCCATCAAACTTTGTCCCCAGCTTTGCTGATGTTGCTGCAGGAATGGACAGGAATATGGGTAAAGACCAAAACACCTGCTTTTAAAACAAGCATCGACATAATGTGGTTTTCAACTTTGATCTCTGATGGAGTTTTTATTTTCTCCTTGGTTGCTGTCAGGTCATTATGTGCCTGAAGACACGTGGTCTGCTCCATCAATTCCTCTAACCAATGAGTTCAGGTACAACACAACAGAAGCCCAGCCCTACATACCTCAGCCACCAGTCACTGCATCTTACAACGGGTAGGTTTTGAAAAAAAAAAAAAAAACTCTTACAGATGTTTTTATTTTTTGTACTTTTATTCTTAGCTACAGTATGTAATGCCTTTAAACTGATTGGGTATTTGAGATCTACACAGCTATGTTCTTTGCTAAAAGCATTGCACAGATTTATGTTGTTTGACTGGAAAAGCAATATAACTCCGTGTTTGACAATCTCCTGTGCACTTTGTTCTGCTGCTGCCTTTAACAATGGTGATCAGAAAAGCCCTGCTACCATAGCAGGACCTTTGATCTGTCAAAGTGTGGCTCCAAGAAAGTTTAATTACTCTGGGAAAAAATTATGAGAAGGCTTTTTAAAATCCAGAATAACAACTCAAAAGAGGCCATTTAAATCCGTCCTGCGTTAGAACTATAAACGTTAGTGTGTTACTTTTAATCAATAATGTTTTAAAATTATTAAGTTTATTTTTTGTAAAAATAAAAAAAAAGATAAAATCAATAATACTAATGTAGTCATTATTTCACAGCCTCCCTGTTTTATACTAGTCTTTAGCTGCTAGTTGCTAATATTTAACATTAGCTAACATTGCCTATGCTGTCCTGAATGTCTAGCCTACCCACCACCAGTTAAGATAAAGAGGCCTGGTGGCCTTTTTGATGTCTGAGATGCTCTGCCAGGGTTGATTGGTTCCCCTGTAGGTACCAGATCTGCTCAGGGCCCTGCACATGCCAGTGACATTATGCTATATGATCCTTCACCCCCCACCCCACCCTGTGGAAAAAAAACTGTTACTGATGGAAATTGTTCTGATGCTCCTGCAGTGAAGTTTTATGATTTTACAGATGATTACTTCAGTTCTTAACATCTATTTAAAAAGCAGCAATTTTGTTCTCCTGCAGGTTCACTTGGACTAGTGCCAACAATCATTGTAACAGTCCCTGCAGCTACATAGGTACGTCTACTCGCCAGTTTCACTTCCTTAAGCTTTTCAAACTACTGCAATATGTTTCCAGTTGGTTTGATCCTCAACATGTTTGTTGGAATGATTTTCCAGGTAATGGACCGTTTCACAGTGGTTTCCCCAATCAAGAGGGGCACAACATCCACGGCAATCAGAGCAGCTGGACGGAGGAGCAGCCTCAGGAATCCCCCACAACCTGGAGCTCAGCAGCATGTGTGGGCAGCAAGGTGAGCCATCATGGATGAGAAACAAAGAAATGAGACAAACGTATCAGAAAAGATCCTAGTACCACTAAGCTGCTTAAAGTAGCTGCCAGTATAACATCTGTCCTTTCACTTTTTGCAGCCATATTTCTCGGGGACCCGCAGCCTCTCTCCCATGTCCAGCCTGTTTGGCTCCATCTGGACCCCCCAGACCCATTTCCCACCTGAGCGATCGGTCCCAGTGTCCCCGATGTCCCCAATCACCCCCATCACCCCACCACACTCCCCGTTCACCCGTGAGCCCGAGGGGACCTACAGGCCCATCCAGTACTCCGGCTTCAACCCGTTTGGCCCGCACATGAACCTGGACATATGGAACTCTTCGTCCAACCGCAGCTCCAACTCCCAGCTCTCCAACGACTCCGGCTACTGTGGAGACGTCTGAATCAAAACCAACATGGCAGAAACTTAATAGTTGCAAATGCATAAAACCTGATATATAAAAGAAAGGAAATAAAAATGAATGTTCTTTTATCAACAGTGGGGAAAAATGTGAATGTTTCTTTTCTTTTATGTTCCAATTTTCAGATGTTAATTGTTGTGAGAGGTGAAGCATTTGTTGTATATTTTTCTAGATGTTTTGCAGTTTTGATCATAGAAAATAAAAAGCAAGGTTTTGTACTTGAAGAACTATGGTCTTTATTTTAATGAAACCACATTGATGAAGTAGTTCAGTGCTGACCATAATAAACGGCTCCCTTGATAAAACAATAAAAGAAACCCTTGAAATTAATTTATCTCTTATAATAGCATGATGCCGTATTACTAAATTTAGAGGAATTCTATTCTTATATTTATTTTGCTGAGGAAAGATTACTGCATTACCACACAGATTATACAGCAAAATTCCAATAAGTTGATCTGGAGATGGGGTAGGACCGTTTGAATTAAGGCTTTTCTCAGGCAACAAACATGATAGCAGACGTGAGATAAAGTGCAATAGATGTTTGGAAATGTGCAAAATCTCTACATACGGATTCTTTAAATCATAATCTTTACTAGAGCGTGATTGCACACTTGATTGAATGGCAAGGCAAATGCTGGTCATTTAATTTGGTGCTATAATATTTGATGTTACCGGGTGGGTCAAACATAGACTGAACTCTCCACCCCATTTACCACTGGCTGGGGAAACTCCAAACCTGCACAGCGGCAGCGACCAAAGGTGAGCCATTTTAGTTTCCTTTTTGCACCATCTGTCAAGGTCTAGTACCTGACAAACAATCAAATGAAATCCAACAATCCATGAAATTATTTGTGATTGAAATAAAAATGTTTTGAGATGTTTATATGTTCCCCATATTCAGGGATTAAAAAAAAAAAACGTGAAAAAGTTAAAATTAAAAATTTTTTAGTCCTAAATGTCAGTATTTTGTCAGTAGGCTCCTCATTGTTATCTTCAAGGTCTTATTTAAGTTTCATAGTATAGTGAAATAATCTTGCATAAAAAATATTAGTTTTATTAAAGGATATATACTTTAATACAAATTCAGTTTCTTTACAATTTTTAACTCGATGTGTAACATGAAATAGAAACTTTGAATATTGTAAAACAAACCCATTTACTAAAGATTAGATATTTGAAGATCATTAAAGTTAAGATAGTTATCTTTTGTCAGCAGATTTAATTGACTCCATGAGCTTAATGCATAATTAGAAAAAGATTTACCTCTTTGTTGTCAGTTCAAGGATGTGAATTTCGTGTTTTCCTCCTCCCTTTTTTCCCCCCTCAATCTATCCAGTTCTTAAGTTTGCAAAACATATTTTAAGTCATAGTGTTAAGGACAGTTCATATTGTCCTTTTATTTCAAAGCAATTTTATAATCCCATTTGGTGAAAATTTGAGCAATTGATCTGGTAGATGTTCTATTCATATTCTATTCTCTGGTGATCCCTCCTGATTGCCTCAGAGATTGTTCTATCCTCACCTCTTTAAAAGGTAACCATCCAGCTTTTTTAATTGCTTTTTGGTTTTCTTTTTATTGCTTCAAAACCATATGTTATTTCTCATGTTCAAGATCAAGTATTTAAAAGAAGTTTCATGACTGGCTTAAGTAGTGGCAGCCTGAAGTTTGTCCAGAAACAAATGCAGCTGTTTTCCACTGTTATAATTTCCCCCAAAATACTATAATTTCCAGCATGAACTTTAAATCATAGATGACGTAGAAGACAGATGTTACATTGGCGTTATATTTCCATAGAAATCATTCAACAAGCTGATCACCATATTTTGTTAAAGTTTGTTTAAAAAGTAAAAAGTATGTTTAAAAATTCTGGAGAAAAAAAAAAGCAATGGTTACCCCAATTATAGGAAATAAAATCCTCAGTTTGCATTTAAATAGGAGGTGCATACTAGAAATTAGAGTTATATGGAGCAATGATTTTAATTATTTTAAATGTGTTTTAATTTTAATTACTGTAAGCTCTTGATCCTAAACAGTTTTGGTGATTTTATAAATGTATTCTTTTATAAATATTGAGGTTATCGTTTTCAGTCTTTTTTTTCTTTAGTGATATCAAAAGGTTCATACCTGTTATGCTGCAAAAACAACATAGTTTATAAGCTTGATACAAACTTAAGCAGTTTCAGCTGCTCCTGTCTGCAGTATCGTCATGTTTTCTCAGGTTTTCCGCTAGAGGCCTTTACTATAAAACAGAAAAATGGCTTATTATTATTCTACATTGATGTATATATAAAAAAATAAAATAAAAAGATGCTAACAATAAATTTGTTTATCAACACTATTCCGGAGGTTTGAGCAGTTTCTTGTAAGCATAAAGTAAGGCCTAAATCTTACAGTTTTTACCTGGTCGTATTTTTTTTTTTTTTGTGTTTAGGTGCTTGTGTGCCTAAAAACGTGTGTAATTCTTTGTTAGGCTCTCGAGAGCTAACATATTGCAGCTATTGATCTTTAGTCCTAAAATCAACACAGAAGCCTGGATACTGATGACAGGGAAGGCCAAAGGAGTCTGGAAATACTGATAACACACACACAGTGTGTACATGTGCACGAGGTTTTAGAGGTCTGCAAATATCAGTCAGACTTTTTCTGCAGGATTTAATCTGTTGGGATGAAAAATCTGTCAAATTATTTCAGGATTATGTATAGCTTTAGCCTACAACTGTTCCTGATCTTTCTTGCTCTAAAGATAAAATGCATCTGCAAATATTGTCCTTCAAAAGTATAAATTTCTGATTAAAAAAAAATGATGTTTCAAATAAAAATGTAAAAAAATTGGCATGTGTTGAGGATTTTACAGATCAGTTTTATATATCTCAATACTTTAACTATTCCCCTGTATTTTTTGCATAAAAATATTACCAGCAAATACTAAGTCAGATTGGATGTATTTGCCAACAGTTTTTATTATCACAGATCCTGAGTTGATTTTTTTTTAAAACATATCTTTATTACCTTTTTTAACTTATACGGGAGAGCTTTATACAAAAGCATAAAGCTTCTTATAATAAACATAACAAGATGAACAAGCAAACAGACACAACAACAGCAACAAAAAAACCCACACAGTGAAAGACAGGAAAAATGAAATAAATAAATAAAAATAAGTAAGTCAATAAATAAAACTAAATCAGGAAAAACAATATGTTAAAAAAAGAATAATAAAAACAAAAACAACCACGAAAACATGAAACAACATTAAAGCTCAGATTAATTAATCAATTAAAAGTTGTTTTAATGTAGTTTAGGTCTGGGATTTAACTGGACCATCCTAGCTAATCAGTATGCTTTGATCCAAACATGTCCTACAGAAGGCCTCTCACAGGTTATGCAGCTGTGGCAGCAGTGCAATTTGCCACATTCACCGTGTGAATGTGTGCATGGAAGGATTTTGACAGCATTGATTGTAAATAGCTTTAAAGTATCCTGACTTGAAAAGTCACATTATAAGTGCTGGCAATGTTCATCTTCTTGCCAGCTTTGACCAGCTTCCCTGTTGAAGAAAAGCGTCCCCACAGCATCATGCTTCCACCTTCATATTTTATCATACAGACGAGGAGTTCAATGCTATTTGCCTTTTAGCCTTTTTCATTTTTCCCTTTAACATCTTACTTTTAAAGCAGTTTATCCAAATTAGTCCACACTAAGTCAATAATGACATAGGATGTTAGTTGTTCATGCCAAAACGTTGTCTGTTTATTTCCAGTCATCAGATAGAGGTGGCAAATACCCTGGAAAGGTCACCAGCCCGTCAAAATGCAACTATTGGAGTCCTGCTATTTGGTTCAGGTTTGTTGTGCAGAGAAACATCTCAATGACTAAAGTTTGACACCTGCAATTTGCACCAAATTCTTCAAACTACTTTGAACTTTGTTTGGTTGTTAAGTAAAGAAACTGAGAAACAAGTTTACGGGGTGAGAGTTATGCACGGCATTGTAGTAAAATATGTTTATTGAAGAAGCTTGTTCTTGTACTGCTTTATTTTCTGAATACCCAGAGCATTAAACAACAAACAGTTACCTTTTTCCTAATGATTGAGTGTTCTATTTGCGTGCATTCCTCAAATAATTAGGAGAGGCGTTCAATAAATAATGCCCCTGACCCACTTCCAGTTGTTTAATTTAGCTGAAATTATATCTCTATAGATTAATTGGGGAAATTACAGCTCTGAACTAGTTGTGGTTTCTGATTTACAGGTGTTTGAATTGAGTCAAGTCTAAAATGGAGAATGTTGAGTGTCGAGCAGTGATCCAGTTTTTGTACTTGAAAGCACGCACATCACAGGAGACTTGATGATGATGCCCCATCATATTACCTTATAAAACCTTTTACAAGCTCATAAGATGGGGCATCATCCCCATAAGTACATTTAATTTAATCAAGTCTCCCATGGTGTGCGGATCACTGCTCGACACTCAACAGGCTCCATTTTAGACTTGACTCACCTGTAAATGAGTTATAAGCTGCAATTTGCCACTAACTCTGTTTATATAAATAATTGTACATGCAAAAATTCACCTGGATGAAATAGCAGATCAGATAAAAAATACATTAGACTAGAAACTAGACTGTACATTTGGTTTTGTTTGCACATAAAAAGCAACCTGGAACGTAATGTTTTGGGAGTCTGGACAGACAGTGCTGTGCAAACCCCCCCATCAACCCACCTTGCCCCCTTTACAAATCAAAACAGCGTGTGATTGGATTTCACGCTCTTTTATCCTTTAACTAGCTTGATAACAGGGACGGAAAAAGCAATGATGAGCTTGTGTACACGTGTGTAAAAGCTCTCCATCGTCACTTAGCAGAGCATCCATTAGGCTTGGCCCCCCTCTCAGGTTGCCCGGCGATAAAGTAAACATACTATGTTTGACCAATCCGGCATGCAAATATTTATTTTAGGAAGCTGCCCTAGCCCGACACGAGACACAGGTTCCCTGAGGTATATATACAGAGATGATCCTGCTGGACTACTGAAGCTCATCACCTCACAAAGAGGCCATTCATCTGTGACCCAGATCTTCTCTTCTAGGAGTCAGACTGAACACAGAGAAATCCAGTCAGGAGGTAAACTTTAACAACACGTCACTGTGTTTCATGCTTCTTAAAGTTGCCTCTACGGCATATTCCTCCTTTTTCTCTCCTCACGGCTTCGATCTCGGCAGGTTAAAAGGGGACATGGCCACAGGGGTCATCAGGAACTTTCACATCCAAGCAACGTCTCAGACCTACTTCTCTGCTTTCTTGGACTCTCCATGCAAAAAAGACAATGGGCATCCCATAAAGGAGACGCAACAGGAACGAGAAGATGAAGAAGATCAAGAGGAAGACGAGGAAGATGAAGAAGAAGAATGTCTTGATCAGTTCATTTTGAGTCCCGCTCAGAATGCTCTGGATGTGACCAATCAGCTGCTGCGGTTTGCTGACCTCATCAGCCGTGATGTTCAGCGGTATTTTGGCCGTTGCTCTGAAGATCGAGAAGCTTGTGACATATACGATGACTCTGTCTCCATGGTGACCAGTGGCCGTCTGCGTTACTACGACGATCTGCTGAGGATTGCAGGTGCAGGAGCCCCAGAGGATCAGGTGAAGGCTCCAAACAGTAATCAAGGACTCAACGTTTTAAAGGGCAGCAGCGGGTTGGGGCCCCTGGCTGAACTGTTCAACCTCAGGGGCCTGAGTCAGGTCAGGGGCCAGCCAATGATCAACAGACACCTCCCGCTCAGTTTCTGGACTGAGCCAGTCCCTCGCTGCCCTCTGGTTGGCCTCAGCAGCACACCTGACATCCTGCATACAAATAGTAGTACACCTGGACAGGCAGAGAGCAGCAGACAAATGCATTACAACCCAGTAACCCACCACAGCATCTCCGACACTGAGCCAGACTTTAGCGACCTGCTGGCTTACTGGGATCCAAACCCAGAGTTTACCCACACACTGATGGAGGACCCGCATGCAGAAATAAACACACAGCAGCTGCCTGAAGCTGACATCTGATTGGCTCGGGTCATGACCTTTGCAGCTGTTCAATAAACTGGAAACAACAAGAACAAAGCAGTGTGTTTTCTTCTAATAGTGGAAACCTTTTCAAGCTTCATAATAATTTACGAATTATTAAAAAAATGCAATGTTTTAGATGAAAACATTTCTAAATCTTAAAAGTTTTTTTCTCAGTTATTTTAAACTATGTCAAACTTAGAAATAGAAAGTCAAACCAACATTTCATTAGCATCCTTTCTTCTCTTTGGCTTTGATCTTTGGTTTTTCCTTGGTACAGCAATTTCACAATGATGAGAAAATTATCACTTTCAGCCATGAACACAGTTGCAAATAAATAATAGTATCAGCACCTACACTAGTAAAGAGTCTGTTAGTTAATCAGATAACAGTTTAAATGAGTTTAAATCATCACAAATATCTGTCTAGTGAAATAGAATAGAAATGAAATTAAATACGTTCCCATTGTCTCAAAGTGGGGAAATTAAGATTAAGCAGCAGGTAGCACAGAAAGCATCTGGGTGCACAAAAGGTTAGAAAATATAAAAAGCAAAAACAAGACTGTACACTAAGGCCAAATTTACAGCATAAGAAAAATACCACTGTATTCAAAATTCAAAGAAATGTCCAACCAAGTGGGGAGATTTAGAAAAGTTACAAAGCTGGTTATTAATATTTATGCATAGAAGCACAACAGACTATTAACAAGAGAACAACCCCAGCACCCCCATGCAAAAACACCAGAGCTGTAAACTTGTAGAGTTTGTAGTGAGCAGTGATAGTTATGACATCTAACAGCTGCTGGTAGAAAAGATCGAAGCTAAATGCTCCTTGTTACATCATGCAGCAGTCTGTTAGCTCTCCAGTTCTGCATCAGCATCATGCATGGAGGAGGAAGAGATCCACAGGATGGAAACATGTTTCTCATCACCTTCATAAAGGCGGCATCTTTAGTTTAGGTCTGGGATTTAACTGGACCATCCTAGCTAATCAGTATGCTTTGATCCAAACATGTCCTACAGAAGGCCTCTCACAGGTTATGCAGCTGTGGCAGCAGTGCAGTTAGCCACATTCATCGTGTGAAACCAGTATGATGCAAAACTGCTTTCTGGTTGTTCCTCCAACAATAAACACCATATAGATGCTACTACAGAACTGTACAAAAGTTTTGAGCTAACCTGTGTCTTGCATTACTCTTCATCGATAATTTTAATCCTATTCCTTTGCAGTTTTTACAATTTTCCAGTTTTACTGTGGATTTACTAGTTTATAACTGAATTCCTGAGTATTATAAGATACATATGGAGACATTAAAATGCAACTGAGATTAAGGAATGACTTCATACTGTGTCTAATGAACACACATAATCATTTTTTAAAAAGTCTTAAATAAAGCAGTGCATAGTGTGAAGTGCAGTAAAACTGTATCAAGTGTCTAAGGCAAAGGACACATGTTGATAGTAAAATGTTCTTCACAAAGTGCTGTAGCTGAAGTTTGTCTGTAAGCATAAAGGTTATAGATTTTTTCTATTAACGTATGGTATGGATTTTAATTAGACCACATTTTTACTTAGATTTGAATCAGTCTATTGTAACTTTAGCTGTTTTTCTATAGTGGCTGTCCTGCCGAAATAAAAGCCTCAGCTTGTATTTATCTCCATCTGTTTTTCCATCAGATCTGGCCCTGTCCAGACAAAACCAGTCTGGGTTTATCCGACAAACTCCATGGTCAAATAGTGTCTTCTCCATCTGTAATGGAAGCAAAACAGACAATATTTGAAACCTCTTCCAATACTGGGAGATTTTACACCAAAACATTTTGCTCCTACAGCATTTGCGTAGATTGGACCAAACAAATGGCTATTCTCTTTGGTTCTCGTTCCAAGATGGCTTCGCCTGAAGGCAGCGGCTTGCTACAGCTCCAGACAAATACACAATCAACGCAGATTAAAAAGCTACAAATTAGGCATCGATCCAAAGTCCGTAAATGATGTCACAGACTCTGTATCACACTGATAACACCGAAACAAAAATAATTGCATATTTGCACCATATATATTAATGGTCTAAACTTCCATATATATGCATGTTTTTTTTGCACAAATTTTTTTTTCTCCAACACTGTTTACATTTGATCACTTCTGCACTTTATAGAATGGAAATGATTATTAACTGTCTGAAAAGCTGTACTAAACGAAATTTCGTTTTGCATACATTCTGTGCATACAAAATGAAAATAAAAGTTGTCTAAGTTAACAGTGCCTCTCACTGGAGTGGAATAAGTATTACACTGCCCATTAAATCCCCTCCGGCATTGTCAGGTTTCACTCTAACACTTGGATGTAGCTGCTCAATAGATTTTCATTCTCTCAAAGAAAATCTAAATGTTATAAACCAAAATATTTAATTTTGATCTAAATTCTGTAAAACTAAAAAAAAAAAAAGAAAAGAATGTGAACAGCTGAAAAACAGGACTGTTCATTTCTTCTTGCCTCTCTAGAGCAATATTTGTTGAGTGAATAACTAGAAACTGACCGATCAGCAAATGCTCTCATCTAAGGTGTTGATCTCTGCAGCTTCAGTTTCCACTGGCCTCTTAGCTGCTTCTGTGATCAATATCCTAGTCCAACCTGTCAGGTTAGGTTGACAGCCATGTCTCGGTTTGTATGAGTCCTTTCCATTTTAACATGGTGGATTGAGATGTGTTCTCAAAGCTTTGGAGATTGCTAGTAACCCATCGTAAATTATAATTACTTCATTCATGACTTGTGTGTTATACCTAGAGTATGCTGTTCTTCACATAGAACCCCAATAAAATACATAAAATAAGTTTGTGGATGGGACATACATATACAGAAACTGGTGTGAGCAGGTTTGAAAGCACAGCAAAGATAAGCTAAATCCAAATCTTCTTTGTATATACTGTCCATTGTCTCTATCAGTGGAACAGTTTTTAGGTAAATTAGGGCTGATAAGCAACAGGAAGTAATTATTTATTAAAAATTGCTCAAGTGCAAATATCTATGGAGGACATACTTTAAAATCAAGCTATAAAAATGAGAAGGAAAAAAACCCAAAATGTTAATTTCCAGTAATTTTTTACCTTTACAATGATTTTTGAACCAAATCTTAATCTTCACATGGCATTACACGATTGGCTTCAAAGAGGCCAGTGCAGGCGTAGCCTCTGATTGGACAAAAGGGAAGGCCAGTAGCATTCTGACACACACTCTCCATCGAAGATAAATAAACGTAGGAACTTACACCGACACATGTTCTGCAGGTTTCTCCACACCTGAGCAGAGGTGACAGGGCAGTTTGCACAGACAGACATGAGGACACACAAGATTTTATTCATCTCTCTGCTGGGCCTGATACTGCTGCTAACGGCCTCCACCATCCAGGCAGAAGACCCCCAAGATGAGCCAGACAAGGCAACAGAGGGACAGGGGGACGCATCGGCGGAGACATCAGAGGACACCTCGGAGGAAACAGATGAGGAGCCAAAGAAGGAGAAGACAACAGATATAGAGGAAGACAAAGATGTTTTGGTTCTGCACATCAACAACTTCGATAGAGCTCTCAGCGAGAATAAGTATTTACTGGTTGAGTTCTGTAAGTAGAAACCAATGATTCATTTCCTTATCAAGAGAGAATATAAATTGTATTGTTAATTGCCAGATGTTTGTGCAGGATGTGGAGTTTTAGAAAAAGCTAATGTAACATATGTTACATTTGTTACTATCTGAAGAAATGCTACTCTAAAGGAAAATACCTGAAAGACTTTAAACTATCAAAAGTGAACTTAAATATTAAACACAGGCATTTTCTTTTTTTTTTTACAATATCTGAAATGTTTGTTCTTATGAAAGAAAACAGGATCTGGGGATAACCATGAGATAACTCCTAACTGCTATGAAACAAATGGAGAAATGCCCTCATTTGTGTCCTGTCATGTCCAGATGTTGCCCTGCTGTAACTCTCCCACACATATGCTCAGCAGTGCAGGAGCAAAGGTCCCTACACAGAACAGCAAGAAGCACAGAACAAAAAACGCTGAGACCAACTGCCTCTCTTGCTATCAGCAGCTTATTTCCATAGAAAATGAGCGAATGATAGCAACAGGACAGATAAGGCTCCTGTAACTGTTCACTGGCTGGGCTTTCTGTGCTGCATTACTCAGAGTTTATGTTTTTCTTTGTCTGTAGATGCTCCCTGGTGCGGCCACTGCAAACAGTTTGAGCCAATTTATGCTGAGGCTGCAGGAAAGCTGAAGGATGAGGAACCAGGCATGCGTTTGGCCAAAGTGGACGCCATCGAGGAGAGAGAGCTGGCTGATGAGTTTGAGGTCGGAAGCTTTCCAACTCTTAAGATGTTCATGAATGGAGACCGGAAAAAGCCTGTGGACTACTCCGGTAGACACACACCCACACACAACTATCTTTAACAAATCATATAGAGATAAAATTCTAATCCTGCAAATATCCATGCCTATTTATTTAATTCACAATTATCAACAAATCATGACAATTTATGCTTAATCATACGTGTGTTTAACTTTAATGAACCAAAGAGATTGAGCTGAATCTTAACTTCAATGAAGAAACCTCCTGAGGAATAATGATTGAGCTCCAGACAAGCTGCTATGCATGACAGTTTAGTGGAATCTGAGAGGAAAATAAAGATGCAAAGACAAACACAGAAACGCTGCCCCAGGTGTGCGTTCAGTGACAAAGATAAATAAAGAGATCATGCAAAGTTAATGGCAGCAAAAACTGCAAGCATAGATGCAGAAATGGAGGGTAAATTTAGCCAAACCAGCTGGGTAAGTAAATTGGTCACTATTTCCTCCTACAAACAAAACCTGAAGCAGTTTAATTAGAGGCTATTACAGTATAATAACTAAATACCCTCTGTTATCTTCATCAAAAAGGAAAGTTTAAGGATATTGGTTCTCAGATCTAGAAGAGATGAACATATATGAAATCATAGAGTCATCCTTCTCATGTTTCCACTGACTGATC